AGACTGAACAAGTATGGTTTGTTTGGAAGAGTTGCCAGGAGAAAGCCTCTTCTCTCTAAAATGAACATGGCAGCACGGCTTAGGTTTGCAAAGTTGCATCTGAACAAATCAAAAGACTTCTGGAACGCTGTCCTTTGGACAGATGAGACCAAAGTGAAGATGTTTGGCCATAATGCACAGTGCCACGTTTGGCGAAAACCAAACACAGAATATCAGCACAAACATCTCATACCAACCGTCAAGCATGGTGGTGGAGGGGTGATGGTTTGGGCTTGTTTTGCAGCCACAGGACCTGGGCACCTTGAAGTCATTAAGCCGACCATGAACTGTATACCAAAATGTCAGGTCTACGATGTTCAAGCCCCAATACAGACAAATCTCTTGAAATCCAAAGCAGATTCAAAAATGACTTCAGTATACCATAGCATTTACTATACTAATAAGGCAGTCCTCTAGCTGATATACAGTGGTACCTCTACTTACGAACGCCCCTACTTACGAATTGTTCGAGATACGACCAGCTCTGGCCCCAAAAATTTACCTCTACTTATGAACTTGCCTCGACTTACGAACCGGATCCACGGCCATTTTCCGCCCGTTCCACGTGGTCCGTGGCCATTTTTCTGCCCGTGCCACGTGGTCCACGGCCATTTTCTGCCCGTGCCACGTGGTCCACGGCCATTTTCCACCTGTTCCACGTGGTCCGCGGCCGTTTTTCCACCCTGCTGCGTGGTCCGCAGCCATTTTCCCCGTTCCACGTGGTCCACGGCCATTTTCCCGCCCGTTCCACGTAGTCCACGGCCATTTTCCGCCCCGACACGTGGTCCGTGGCCATTTTTCCCCCGTTCCATGTGGTCCGCGGCCATTTTCCCACCCGTTCCACGTGGTTCGCGGCCATTTTCCGCCCCGACACATGGTCCGCGGCCATTTTTCCGCCCCGACACGTGGTCAGCGGCCGTTTTTCCGCCCCTGACGTGTGGTCCGCGGATGCCAGAACGGATTAATAGTAATTATACTGAACCTTATGGGAAAATTTACTTGACTTGCGATCAGAGTCACGGAACGGATTAAGTTCGTAAGTAGAGGTACCACTGTATATCTTGATTGCTGCGGATTCTGACACAAAATATTCTAGAGTCAAATGTGAGGCCATCTGTCTGGCAGCTAAAGCTTGGCCGACATTGGGTCATATAACAGGACAATGATCCCAAACACACCAGCAAATCTACAAAAGAATGGCTGAAAAAGAAAAGAATCAAGGTGTTGCAATGGCCCAGTCAAAGTCCAGACCTCAACCCGATTGAAATGCTGTGGTGGGACATCAAGAGAGCTGTGCATAAACAAATGTCCGCAAACCTCATTGAACTGAAGCAATGTTGTAAAGAAGAGCGGGCCAGAATTCCTCCACAACGATGTGGGAGACTGATAAAG